CAGGATTATTGCGGTGAAAATAAGAGGAAGGTATATTAGATATATTCGCCATCTTGAGTTATTTATAAAAATAATGAAGGTGGGATAAAATAAATAAAATTTAAAACATTAAGCAATGTTCTTCATTAGAAATTGTTCAGTGAATTTTCTTTAAGTGCTAAATAATATAATAATCTGAAGAAATATGGTATTATGGTTATATGGTTAAAGTGTTATGGTAATGAAGTGTCATTAACGTGGCACTTTACAGTGATGAGGAGGTGGGCTTCACAACTGCTCTCTACTGATCATAACATAAAATGACCAGTTTTTTCACAACTTCTGCATATTTGGTTGTTACTGAACTATTCAGTAAATTCTAGTTACTAAACTCTCCAAATTCTGTTTTCAAATTAATTTTACCAGCATATGGTAAAATTATATCACCATATGGGAAGATTATTTTTAAGCAGCACAGTATATTGGTTTGCATTTGTTTTTACTTTTACTTTACATAAAAGTTTTTACTTTATTTGTTTGCATTTTGTTTTACATTTCTCATATCTATGATAAGTCACTCTCATTACATTTGCGAGTAATTTTCTCTGTAACTCCTAATAATCTTCTAGTTAGTGAAGAACTAATGAAATATGAGCTTTTAGCTAAATAATAAAATATCCACCATATGGACAAGTACAATTTCAGTAATAGAATAATTTAGTTTTATAAGACTGGTTATTTAAAGTGTTGAGACACAATCTGTCCGGAAGATTAGATTCATGATGTACATGCAAGAACATCTTGTCCGGGATACTGCTATTAGTAGTTCCTTATGAAATAATTTGTAAGATTATCGTTTTTATATTATTATTTTTTAAATAGTATACTAGTTTGCATATTTAGTTTTGAATAACTGGTATGTGAATCCAGTCACTCTGGTTTATGCCATATCAAACTATACTTTATTCAATTATGGTTTATTAATTAATGATCAATCTATATACCATCTATGTCTCTGTCCATCCTTGGCACATACCAGGCTTTCTGCACACCTGATTCATGTAGAAAATAAACTAATTTTCGGAATGGAAATTTGTCATGCTATGAAACAAAATGCTAGCTTCTAACATGATTTTCACTTTCAAAAGAGTCCCTGGATCCTACACAGGTTTATGACTTCTTTACAGATAAAAGTTATTGGCAGTTATAATCATTATATTAAAAAACCAGAAGCAATAACCTTGAAGAGGAGGAAGAATCTCAACTAAGATTATGATCAGATCAAAGAAATCTGAATCTTTTTCACAATTCAAAAGTTCAAAGTTCTTTCTACCCTGCTTATTCAAAGTCCAGCTTTTGCTTCCTATAGTGTCACAAATAGAGAATTGCTTGTACAATTCTGATTTTGGAGGTATAGACACATCACATCTGAATATCTTCTCTGAAGACCTTCACAGCTGCTCTCCCATGTGCTATTCTGTGGTTATGTCTTGACTGCCTGTTGCTTTATTAGTGATGGCTGATCCTAAAAGGCAGAAGCTATCTGCCACTTTGATATAAATTCTAAGGCTGGTTGCTATAGCCACTGGCATTAATTTGGTCTTCTTTATATTTAATTTTAGGGCATGTAGGGAGATTGTTTCTTAGCAAACGAAGTTGGAAGTAATGTAAGAAACTGGAAACTGTCAGAATTGAAAGATAAAATGGACACAGGTAAGAGAAAGAAACCTGAGTCTGGTATCAATGCACATCATTTTATTTTGAATATGATCTAAAAACAGAGTAGGTTTACAGACCAAACCAACCAAATATTTTAATTTAGGTGTAACATGGAACTGGGTCGGGAACTGTAATCTTCCCCAAAAAAGAAAAGAAGAAAGGGATTTCCAATTTGTTCTTTGAACTGGCTCAGAATCAGCTCCTTCCATGACATTATGGGTAATATCCAAGATTGAATTTTTTTTTCTCCTGGCTCTTTACTGGTTTATCTTTTCTCCTTTTGCATTGCTGCAGCTTGTGGGTGGTTTGTTTCTAGTTGACAGGAACTCTTGCTTTCCTCGTCTCCATGTTCTGGCCCTAGTACTATCTGTAAGTATTTAACTTGTATGTCTCCTCCACTCCAGTCACAATGTGCAGCCATGATGAAAAGCAGTGGGAAAAGTAAATGGTTGCAAAAACCCAAGTGTCCTTTCTCCTTCACAGCTTAGAAGATGATTTTAAATTAGGGTAGGAAATGCAAATTTGCAGCTAGAAAGCTTTTCCTTAAGGCAACTGTTGTCGTTTCCCCCCCCCCACACACACACAAACACACTTTTGAGACATAACCAAGTGATCAAATTCAAAATGAATTGAAAATGTTAAGAAGGAGTATGGGAGGTAGGTGACGGGAAATACTACAGTAATGACTTCTTTGCAGACTTCTTTGCATTCCCCTATTGGCCAACTAAAAGTGGGTACTGGGTGACTCAGGGTATTCTGTAGAGTTTTGAACATTTTGAGAATGAAAGAAGTGAAGATGAATGCAGATTGGGCTTGAGTTGAAAGCTCCTGAAAGAAAAACCAATACTGTTGACGTAATTTAATCACAATGGATCAAGAATGCTGCAACTGCACTCTAATGCTTAGATCTTTCATCTAGATGAGATCATATTCAGAATATGTTAAACATAATGCAGGTGAATGAGTTGAATGGTCAAAAAATATTCTGAAGTGCAGATTATAAAATTAGTCTTCACATAGTAAAAAATAAACCTCGTATTGTATTAAATCAGTTTGTTATTAAAACAGCGAATGGATGGATACAATATCTCTACCCCAAAGACATTAATTTCTAGAAAAGGGCAGAAGAAATTAAACAATGATCATATTTTAAATGCAGCTAATATTTGATACACAGCAGTGATGTGAATTCTTTCATAATAGCATTGTGGTTTTGTTAAATAACTCTACTTATCTAAGCCTTTGTGTTTGGGAAATACCGTACTTTATTATAGTATATGCCTTACCTACCAGGAAAGGATTGATATTTACTTACAGTACTTGCTTCATTTTGTTTTCAATATGGCCCTGGTGTCTCAGGATTGATGACGCTATTCAAGTACTGAAAACTTTGGATCAGGTGAAATGTATTTGGTAGACAAGTATGATATAGGGTAAGGATCTCCACACTGTGAGTTGCAACATCTGATATTTAATCTGATTATGTGGTATTATCATGCATTACATGTTCTTGCACAATTCTTACTATACTGAATTATTTAAAAGAACAGAAGGCCATCATAACAGAGATACACATGGTTGGTTCCATGCTTAATTTTAGGCACAAAATTATATAAATTCCACATTATGTAGTATTATGCAAAGTTCAATCACTTTTCTGATGTGTTGAGCTTCTTGGGAGAATCTACCCTTTTTTAAAAAACAAAAAACCCAAATGCCCCAAACCCCTTAGATGGATTGCATTAGCTTTCAATATCCATTCCATTCCATTCCATTCCATTCCATTTATTTATTTGTGCCCTTTCCTAGACAGGGATGCCCTCCGTATGGTCACTCATGCTCTCATTATCTCTCGGCTGGATTACTGCAATGCCCTCTACATGGGGCTGCCCCTGGCGGCTCCAAGTGGTCCAGAATGTGGCCGCGCCGGGTAGTTAGGGGTGCTTCCCGTTACTCCCATATAACACCATTGTTGCGCAAGCTGCACTGGTTGCCGGTGGTCCTCCAGATCCGCTTCAAGGTGCTGGTGCTCACCTATAAAGCCCTCCATGGCATGGGCCCGGAGTACTTGCAGGACTACCTCCTACTGGTCTCCCACCGCCCAGTGCGCTCACATAGGACTGCCCTGCTCCGGGTCCCATTGGCCAGACAGTGTCAGTTGGCGGCCCCCAGGATGAGGGCGTTCTCTGTGGTCGCACCGACCCTCTGGAATGGTTTACCCACTGGGCTCCGGACGGCCCCCGACCTCCGCACCTTCCGTGCTGACCTAAAGACATGGCTCTTTCAGCAAATTCCCTGATCTGCCATGCATTTTAATTTGGGGATTTGGGGTTCTTAAATCGGATTTTAACATTTTAATTCTATTTATTGTTGGGTTGTTTTATTCTGTGAGCCGCCCCGAGTCCCTTGGGAGAAGGGCGGCATATAAATATGACAATAAATAAAATAAATAAATAAATAAATTTAAATTTGTCAAGCATATATAACAGGTAAAAGTATAAACATAATTTGAATACATGAAAAGAGTAAGAGTAAAAAGGGATATTAGGGCAGGGACGGTAGGCACGCTGGTGCACTTATGCACGCCCCTTACAGACCTCTTAGGAATGGGGTGAGGTCAACAGCAGACAGTTTAAGGTTAAAGTTTTGGGGGTTTGGGGAAGAAACCAGAGTCAAGTAGTGCATTCCAGGCATTGACCACTCTGTTGTTGAAGTCCTATTTTCTGCAATCGAGAATTGCTTGGAGAACAAACCCTTTGACCTGGATGACCCTCACTCGAATCCTTTACGACTGGAGTTATTTGTGGCTGAGAATAAGCAGAACCAGTCCCGGATCCACCGGCGGTTTCTCTCAGTTTGGCTGGCAAAGGGCTTCAATCTCGAGTTATTGGGAGCTGGTGGACGTTGGTCTTCTCGTCGAGGGAGGCTTCCGAATACCCGCTCCAAAGCCTTCACTTCTTTCAGCCCCCATTTGGCTTCAGGGCTGCCGAGGGGTGGGAAAGGGTCGGGTCCCACACATGCCCGCATCCTCCCCTCCCCGACCTGACGGAACTGCTCTCTCGCCATTTTCCACCCCCCCCCCTCCCAACCGCCGCCGCCGCCGAAGCCATTTCAGGGGACGACCCTCCGCTTCCGCCGCCACCCCCGCAGCCGTTCGGGAGGGAAGCGCCTCACGACGGCTCTGCGGGGCCGGCACGACTCCGGCGCTCCCTCCCGGCCCTTCTGCCCCTCCGGGATCGCGGATTGGCTGGGCGGCCGCCTCGTCCCAGAATGCATTGCATGGCGCGTCATTGAAGAGAGACCATGATGGCGGCGGCCGCGGCGGCGGCGGCGGGGGGAGCCTCCGAGGTGATCGCTCAGCTGGAGAGCGCGGCCAAAGTGCTGATGGTGAGGGAGCCGCGCGGGTCGGCGGGTCGGCCGGGGGCGGAGCGGATGATGGGGTGGAATAAACCCGGGCTCTGTCCTTAAAGGGAAGCCCCGTCAGTGCCCCTTCCCCGGGGATGGCTCTCTTTTGGACTCCTCTAGGGAAGCATCCTCGGATAACCCCGGGAGGTGGCATCGCCTTTCGTGCCCTAGAAACTTTTGCAAACAGGACGGGTCTCCCTCTCTCCCGTTCCTTCTTGTCTGAAGCTGCAACCCCGCGCATCTTTCCTCCAGCTTTCACAAGCCTCTTTGGACCCCAGGCGGGCAAAGAAGGGCAGAATCACGTTGCTTTTGGCCACCCTTCGCTTTTGTCCCCGTCGCTTTTCCATAACCTCTTTAATGTTGTGTGAGGCTTGGAATTCCATTCATTGATATCATCATATCCCAACATAATTCTTTCCTTTTCACTTCGGCATCCACGTGCGCAAATCTGTAATCAGGAGTGATTTCCCCCCCCCCCCACCCACTTCCCAGTTTCTATCCTGGTTCTCTCCTCCCCACCCCCCTCCTTCCCTTTTAATACCATTTTTCATGCCTCCTGATAAGAGTGTTTTAATATCAGCCTCTCATACACGCCCATTTTACCAATACTGCATGTAGTGTATTGTCTTTTTCTTCTTTTTTCCCTCTCCCTTATATTATTACACTGTGTTACCGAAATGGCTGTTCGGTTTGCTTTTTGTCTTTCTCAAGGGTGGAGGGATATGTGAAACAACCAAGTTTCAGTAGCGGAACCTTTTCTTTTGGGAAGGTTTTCTGCAAGGCTAGAAACTCATGCTCCAAAATGCTACTTGTGACTAAACTAAAATAACTTTGCATTTCTTCTCTCTCAATGAATTAAATATATTAAAACAGAAAAAAATTCAAAACCGTTCTCAAAGAGCAAAGAATGCTTGTCTATAATCTGTAATTTTCTAAATTAGTGGCCTTTGCTGTACCAATGTATGGAATGTGTATAGATTTACTGAGTAAATGGATCATAATCTGTTCTACTTCCCAGGCAGTTAATAGTGAACATTTGTATAAACTCCATGCAAAAAAGAAACAAGCTACAATCAGAATAGTTTTATCTAGATTGGTTACATTGGCTTTCTTTTCTTAAATTCAGAATGATACTTTATATTCTTTGTTTTTCTCCTTCTTAACAGTCCTTTGGTGTGATAGGCCATCAGAGTGCTTTTTGGAAATATCAGGCAGACAGACCATATAAACAAATTAAGAATCCAGATGGATTTGAAATAAGATTTTGAAATTAATTATAAGAATCTTCCCTGTGGGAAAATGCTGTGGTTTTGAATTCTTTAAAAAAAACAATTGGAGGGGACTTTGAACACTGAAATTTGACTTACTAATATAGAATGTCATTTTAGCTAGTGAGATTATTCTTACATGTTACTGAACATATCTCTTGTTATCAAATATACATCAATATACATTTTATGGCAGGTGCTTTACAGTTTAGCTGAATAACTACCTGAAATGCACTCCTAGCACATTAAAAAGTCAGGACAAAAGAGTCCTAGCTAGTCCTCACCCTCTGTGGTACCAAGTTTTATTAGAGGGTAGGATATAGCATTCAGATAAATAATTCTAAAACGATATAGTCTATTACTGTACCATATGAGATCTCTGAACATCTAGCTTGACTCTTAAGAAATTTATAAACTACCTGAGGCAAGAGTTTAATTTGTCTTTTTGCTGCTAAACTTGAGCAATTTTGAAATACAAAGCTGGACTTGCTAATGCAGAAGGCGTGATCCAGGATGCCACTAGATGTGTGCCAAATTATATACTTATTATAGTCTGTACTTGATTGTGAATACATTTTTATAACAATTTTACTGAAATTTAAAATTAGAAATAGAAACTAATAGAAACTAAGAAAAATAGAAACAAGAAAAAATAGAAATTGCAAAAAGGGGGAGAAATATATATATATATAAAAAGAAAAAAATTATAGAAAGAAATAGCTTCCCCTTCAACAAGATAAGTATAAACATTTTCAAAAGCTTAACATGTCTAATATTTCAACTCAAACTCTCTTCATCCCATAACTCGTATGTATAAAACAAGAAAAATGATTTCATAATTCACAATTCTTGGTTGGCTGTGAATATATTTAGTTAACTTGTGCTGTTTTCTTCTACCAGCTAATGCAAAGTTTTGGCTTTTTTTATTATCTATAGATCTTCAAACTGTCTGAGAGAGAGCAATAAACCATGGAGAATATCTATCTAAATCAGGGGTGCTAAACCTACTGATGTATTGGGATTTTTTCCCCCTTTGCTAAACCAAGCATGGCCTGTGGGCCAGGAGCTTGACAGCCCTGATCTAAATGAATTTATTTGATAGACTTTAAAATTGCCTCCTATCTTAGAAAACTTGAATCTAGTCAGGAAATTGGAAATCTCATAAAGTACAATAATGTGGCTTTACTTTGATCTGTATAATTCTTTTACACAAAGAGGTATTAGTGCTTTTAAAAATCTTAGAAGTTTGCTAAAAATTCTTGATGGCAATGATGCAAATAATCTGCTAAAATAAATTGCAAACTTCAGGAATTGGTAAAAGTTTTTTTAAAAGAGTGCTAAATAATTTGGCATTACATTATCTCAATTTTATCCACCTATTTTAATGTTCCGACTGCTTTGCACTATTCTGAAGTTGTATTCCTTGCATAAGTACACAATGTGTGAACCTGCCAAAGAATGCTGAATTACTTTAAATTGCTTAGAAGGTGGTGCTGGTTGAGGGAGGTGGGCTTTTTGTTCAGATATATTTTGTAAAAATGTCAGCGGATGCATTCAAAAATTAACTTTTTCTTTTTGGTGTGATTAAGCTCAGCAGACTATCAGAGAAAGCAAGGTGTAGCAACTTTGATTGTAACTGATGTTGTACATAGCTTTACTCTTGCATCAACTTTATGAATCAGAGCTGTCTGCATATTAGTATGTGCTGCCATCTGCTCGTAAATCTAGAACACAGTACAGTATAAGTAGTCCTTGACTGACAACAGTTCGTTTAGCGACCATTTAGTTACAACAGCATTGAAAAAAGTAACTTATACCAATGACCAGTTTTCACACTTAACAACTGTTGCAGCATCTCCATGGTCACATGAGCACAATTCAGGTGCTTTGGCAACTGACTCATATTTATGACTGTTGCAGTGTTCCAGGATCACCTTTTGCAACCATTTGACAAGCAAATCAATGGGGAAACCAGATTCGCTTAACGACCATGCTGCTAACTTAATTACTGCAGTGATTCACTTAACAACTATGGCAAGAACGGTCGTAAAATGGCGCAAACCTCACTTAACAAATGTCTCACTTAACAATAGAAGTTTTGCGCTCAATTATCGTCATAAAGTCGAGGACTATCTATAAAGCAAATAGACAGAAGTCTTGCCAGTGAGAAAAGTTCTGTTCTGAAAATAATCCTGAAAAATGGGAGGTAATTCATGATAATCATGCCCAGCTTCTAAACACTGTCTGTAACATTTCTGGCAGGAGATCAGGCGTCCCTAAAATTTGTGGTTTTTAGATGATTGACTTTCAAATCCCATAATTTTTGCAAATAGAGCTATTAAAATTGCTCAGATTTGCTAGTCATGACCAGCCTAAGTCCCACTGATTTCACTAAGTATATTCTCAGTGTGACTAAGTGGGGATCAAACCTTAAGCTTTTATACAATGCTGTATTCTTAAGGGTTGATAGTTCAGACAATATCTTCATGTATTCTGTGTCATGACTGAGGATCTTGGCATGGGCTTTGCTCTGAAAATTGCCTGGAAATATTTTAAACAAAGAGTTAGTTAGAGAATTATTGCCTTTGCCAATAACTTGTTTGAGGAAAGAATATGAAAGACTCAGTAAAAGTATATAGTACTTTCGTTATTATAAAATGTTCTGTAAAGCAGCATTCCAAAACTTTCTATTTTCCTGTAATGCATCTGGAGCACATCAGTTTGAAGAAGTTTCCAATGAAGGAGTATGTGGCTATTAAGGCATCTGGAATGAAAATCTGGATAAATGAGGATTGCAAACATAAGGTGGCCAATCTAATTAAATTGAATTGGGGTATTTTTTTAGATAGAATTGATTTATTGTAAAGAAATCGCAACATCTAAGGATTTTATGACACCATGGAAAAAAAATAATTTTAATTTTGCATGCTAAATTCAACATACAAAATACATTTTTAATCCCGTAGCCCTTCATGAATAAGAAAGTTCCTTCCTAGCAAAATATGTACGCTTTCCTGAAAAAAAAACACTTAACACATTGACCTGGCTCACGCAACTTACTAAGCCATAATATCATTTGTTTGCTTTTGGCTTAGCGTGTTATACAAACCCAGTCAATTATGACTTATACAATAAGCATGCCTAAGCAAATCATGGCTTAGTGCAGTGTGTGAATTTAATTACTGACTCCCATGTTTTTTGTATTTTAACAAGTGCTACAACTTTCAGTATTAAATATCAAAGAGGGTTAGTCCACACATAGATTTCTGTAACATTTAATTTTTGGGGTTTCTCAAGAGCTTAAAGCACCAAACTGTAAGGTTAGTTAGATATTCTTCTCAGTTATGATTTTGATGGCTTATTTTTATTTTTGTTGTTGACTTGCTGCTAAGAATAGCTTTTAAACTGAGATATTATCTTTTAGATACTGTCTTGATTCAATATTATTTATAGAATAATAAAGGAGAGTATTTTTTTTCTTTTTTGTAAATACTTATTCTTACAGTTTGTAAATTATCCTTTCTATTTCCTTTTTCTTTTGTTTTCATTTAGTTCCTAAATACTTTAAAAAATAAAATACAATAGAGATTAAAAATATTGAAGTGTGTTGAAAGTGCCCGTTAAGAATATCATATCAACGAATTCTGATTTTGGATATAATCTGTGTAAAAAAAAATTCTGTTTCTTCAACTACAGCCCTTGTCTCTGCATTGT